TTAAGTCTGTTACTACATTCAGCCAGGTTCATCTTAAACCAGTTTCAGCCATTTGAAACTGGTTTATGTGCACTGCACATCTGTTCTATTACAGGTTTAAACCAGTTTCTGATCACTTAAACTGGTTTATGGGTACCTTCTGTCCCTAGCCATAAAGTTTTACTGTGTTCAAGAACTGATTTCTGAGTGGGCAATGAATGTAACAGCAAAACACACATCTTGCCACAGAGATACAGATTGCCATCCCAAGATTATCAAATTCCTCAGTCTAAGGAATGATTTTAGGGTTCAGTAGTCTGCATGCAAAAGTAGGACTACCACTTTTATACATTCGGAACTTTTTTTGTAGGTCCCTGTTTTTTCTTGTAGTGTAGAGCCTTTCAAACTAGCAAAATGCAAATATGTGCACCCCTGACGCGCACAATGCACCATTTCTTTCCGAAAGTGAAGGGTATGCAATCTTGAATGCTTACTAATGACTGGCTAAGTTTTTAAAAACCTATTTTTCAAGGTAGCTTATTGTCTGTCCATAGTACGTCCTAGTATGTTCTAACATAAGCTCACCTTTCCCAGTTTGGGTGTAGTAAATTGTGCCTTAAGCATCGGGTTGATTTTGCTTGTTTGCTAGCTTGCAACCTTTAGTCAGGTTGCTACAGAGTCAGGAGTTAACAGGAGTAAGTCACAAATTCACTAATATGAATTAGCCAGGGTTGGTTTAAATTTGTAGTTTAAAATTTAAATAAAGTGGGACTTGTTTTCTGTGCTGTGGTCAATGAATACGAAAACTATGTATCTAAATTCTTGGGTAGCACCTTTCTTCTGAGGAATGTGTAGATCTTTTCCATCCTTAAAAGTGTAAACGCTTGCGAATGAGTGAGGTAAGGTGCATTGATGAAATAATTAAAAAAAAAACCCTTTCATTTGGAGTTGGTTTTTCTTGCCCTTTACTTGATTTTTTTTTTTTTTTCTCACACATAATTGAGCTTCACCAACTTAAGCTTAGTTTGCTAGCTTATAACAAGCTAAAACTAACTTTTAAAAATGCTTGCATTTTAGTCTTAGGACTTCATTTTGGTAGGCTTGTTTCAAAACTGAGTAGATAACCAGGATCATCTATTCTTCTTCATGCTGTTGGATCTTGTAATTGAAAAGAGTGATCTAGTGAACATCCCAAGCTATTAATTTTTCTGAAACCTAAATACTGCTTCCTGGAAATTATCCAGAGTGTGTGTTTAACGGTTGGTACTTGAATTTGTAATTGATTTTATTCTTGCAATTTCATATGTCCTTCTTTCTTTTAGGTTCTAAAAGACCTGCCTTGCTGACTTCTCTTGGAGGTAATCGACCACGTGGGTATGCGGGGGAGATGCATTAGGAACCTGAATATGGTGCCAAAAGACCTCCATACATTTCTATGACTCTGTTGTAACCTGACTCAGTGATACTTTTGGATATATATATGTATATATAATATTTCTATGCTAAGGAGAAGAGTGCATACTCCCAGTTCAGTTCTGCCAGTCCACTGGCAGAGATTTTTTTCATTGTAAGATCATGGACCATTCTAACCGGGAGAAGGATGAAAGGCAGCGGACAACAAAAGGAATGGCAGGGCGGAGTGGACATAGTTCTCGACCATCAAGTTCCACTACATCCTCTGGTGTACTTATGGTGGGACCCAACTTCAGAGTGGGCAAGAAGATAGGGTGTGGCAACTTTGGAGAGCTACGACTAGGTAAGAACACAGATCCATTACTGGCTAGAATTATAATTCTATAATTTATATTTCATGAGTGGAATTTTCAAGTCTGAGCCAAGAAATAGCAAGGAGCTTAGGTGGCTTTTGTTTTTTTTTTATTTAAGATAAATTGTTCTGATGTTTAAACCAACAGAAAAATCTGTGAAATTTGATGCATGTTGAAATAAGTTTTCAAATGCCCAGAGTTAATTTTTCAGCTACTTAAAAAAATGTAGTAAGGTATATAACAGATTAGATATGTTCCATTGTTAGAAATATTTACAGGTGCACATGGCATCTCTAGCCAAAGAGATAGATTCTGAATGATCTTAGAAAAAACTTTTTGAAATCTGGTGAAGGCTTTGTCCTGTATATAGTCTCTATACATCTTTCATGAAGTTGTGTTACTCAAGATTTAAGAAAAAAAGGACAACCACTTGCATTTTTCATGTTTAGTCTTCTTTGCAGTCATCCAGAATAAAGAACATGTTTTGTAACAAAGTTGCATTTGGGTCTTAAGAAGGAAAACTGGTTATTTTTTACATCATCCTCAGATAGCTTCAGTGATGGTAGTTGCTTGTATTAAAAAAGCATAACTTTTGAGAATCATCTTTAGCTTGGAAGGAGTGTTTTGTGACTGTCCTTCTTGCTTTGTTTTGTGCTGTTTCTGCTTTTGTTTAAGCAGTTGCATCTCTGTTTTGTTTTGTGTTCCTGGACCAGCTAGGTGTTAGGTTGCATTTAGTCTCTTGTGAACGCTTGCGTAGCTGTTCTTCCTGGCTTATTATAAATAAGACACTTGCAGTAAAACACCCATAGTCTAGCTTGTACATCTGAGTGAACTGGACTGTTCTCCTTGCAGGCTTGAGAATACTGAAAGGCATTTATACCAAGTAGGCTGACCTAAGTATCTTCACCAAAAAACATAGTATCTCTAATACTGGCTGCATATTGGTTCATTTTAAAACATCATAACAAGCTGCTGACGGGGTGGTCTATAATTGCAATTTTAAGCTCTGTTTCTCTTCTGTATTTTGTCTTGAATTTCTTTTAATTTTACTGAAAAATTGTCAAGCTGCTTAAATAGCTTTTACAACCTAAACTCTTTTTAAGTGTTTTCAACCAGGATTTTTGCCTGTCTTGTAGTTCAAAGTACAGTAAGCAGCTGTGGGAAGTGGGAGGTGTAGATTCTTTTGTAATTTCAGTTTCTTTGTATTTAAGTGAGTGTAGGTGAGAGATTGCCAGTGGCTTCCAAAAAAGTTTGGGGCATAGAGATGCGTGGATAAAATATTGGTTAGTGAGCCTTTCATTTCAACGTTCAGTTCAGGAAACCACCTTTTTAGGAGCACAGAACTAAAATGTCTATGAAGCAGAGAGATGGTGCATATGAACAAAAGTGTAAATGTGATATAAAGGCTTTTGAGTACATCTTTGCCATTGCTTTTGTCATGAAGTTCTCCAGAAGAACCCATATACATTAATACCTGAATGTGAAAGACTTGGATAACATACTTTGGGTGCATGCCACTCCACTCCCCCCCCGGGAGTCTTTGTAAGGTAAATGGAATAATCCCATTTCTAGAGTCTGACTCGCTGTACTAGGCATCTTGACATTTTATGTTTGGTAAACAGATGCCAAAGGCCAAATTTCAATGGAACTAGGATTTTAAACTAGCAGAGAATAGATTTTTGCCCCAAAGTGAAGGGGTGGGAAGTCATTTGTAAGTTGCTGCATGCTGTATGCAGTGCATATGCAAGACTGCCTTTTTGCAGCACCAGTTGGCAGTTACTGAAGTAGATTTCTTTTTTTATCTTACATATTTCACAGTTTCCTGTATCTACCACTAAAATGCACTAGAGCTAATTGCATGACTTGGAAATAAACATCAGTCCCAAATATCAATTTCACTAGAACTTCTGATGCTAATCTAAATGGGTCTTTGTTTTCTTGGGGTAAAGGGGACTGTCAAACTGCTTTGGAACCTAAAACTTCCCATCCTTTCCTACAGTTGTTCTGTATTAGTTGTTATATCCCACCAAGCTGATGGTTATAGCTTTAGGTAGAGCATATCCAGAGTCTAATCTCTTTTGCTTCCAAGGTTTTGGCCTTGTTCCTAGCGTTTTGCAAAATGTTAATAATTGGCGACTTAACAGTGAGTTAGAAGCCTGCTGAGGCGTATGTACTGCAAACAATGTTCAAGATGAGTGATTTGGGTGGGGGGAGTGAACTTCTTGAATTGAGATCCTGTTTTTAAATATGAACAGGACAGATCTTGTTAAATAGTGTTCAACAATGAGGCATTGTGTTCGGCCCAGTATTAGCTGAGTACAGAGCTGTTTCAGCAGACTGCATTCAGGAGGCACTGTTGTCCATAGATGATAATAAGGAGAACTTAAAACAAATGTGGGATATACACAAGTGTTAAGGGTCCCTGAAAATTATTCCTTCCTTTTGTCAGGAACATGACATTGAAGTGGTTAATTTACCACTTTTTGAATGTTATGTTTGACATTTTGTGCTGCTGCCCAAATGTGAACAGTATTGTCGCTAAACCCAGTGCCTTAATACTAGATTTAACAAAGACATGGACAAAGAAAAAAAGTGAAACCCAAGTGTGAGAGGCCAGAATCAAAGGTTCTGACCTGAGTGGAAGGCCTTAACACTAACCCTTCGGTCCTTGGTGGAGGACATTCTGTCAAAGTAGAGGATCTTTAAATGGTGTCAACTGAGAACATCTTGACTTCATCAAATCAAAGCGGGACCTTGGTTAGGGCACCCAGCTGAAGGCTTTTGGAGGCAACAAAAGTGGTTGCCATCTCACTTGGGAAACCTTGCCTGCACACATGATGAATTCTACTGGTTTTTGGCCAGAGAAGATCTCGGAAGCAGTGTCTGGAACCTCAGTTGGACTCCCTTGCAGACTTTTTAGGAGCAATCCATTAGTAAATGGTTTCCTTTCAGTCTTCGTGAGATCAGGAGAGAAGGCCCTGGTTTAAGCATGTAGACTGAATAGGCCCCAAAGACTGGGGACCTTTTGTACTATTTTTAAAAATGGCCTGTTCAGTTTTGATATGCCTGGGGCCCTGTGAGCATGTGAAATTATACTTAAAGCTTTAGAGCCTTGTTCTCCAGATCTGCAGTACTGCATCTCGCACAGGATGTGCGCGCAGTTGGTGCTAACATGCAGACTTTGGCAAATGTGGGAATTTAGGGAGAATTATGTAGTATGATATTTTAGGTTCAAGTACAGATGTCAACAACATGTTGGGAAGTCCAGTCCTGGGATTTGTTAATGTAGCCTTGTTGCTGTCTTTAATTAGGTAAGCTAGTGCTGATACATTAACTCTGGAGTTCGATGCCCATCTAATAGAAACCACTACTGTGCAACTGATCCTGTGAACCTGGATGGACTTAAGCTTTCTCTTGCCACCTGAGTTGAGTACAAAACCATATTGTGCAAATGAGGGAGACGAAAGGACCCTTTGTTCCTCTTCCATTTCCTTGCCTCTGCATAAAAACTGCATCAATTGAGTATAGTTGATCTGGGATGTCTGGATTATGTCAGCTCTCATACTAGTGTTTGATCACTTTGGTAAACAAGCTAATGGTGCCAAAATCATGATAAACATACAGGTCATCTGAGTAGTATATAGAAATGTATCCTTCATAGTGGATAACTGGACAGCTTCACCATGGGCTATGGTAGAATGGAGCATATTTAGCAAGTCTGGATGAATTAAAGGATGTTTGTAGTACTGGAGCTTTTGGCACCAAGATAGGCATGTTGTTAAGGACCTGGGAACCTCAGTACTGGGTAAACTGCACCAAAAGAACTGCTCTGAATTATTTTGATTCAAAGGCCCAAGGACCTTTGTCAGATTTATCTGAGTGGGGCAGAGGCACATGATGCAGCACTTGGTTGAGAACCACTGTCATAGAGATACCATAACAGATGCACAGAGATGCCCCTTTTTGACCCAATTCTCATGGGGCAGTCTTTCTGGATTAAGCAGGATATAAACCTAGGGAATCAGAATCAATGTTGTTTTTGACTGAATGTTTCACCTGCCATTTTACTTGCATGCTGCAGTTCCAACGTAGCAGCCTTCAGTGGCCCCACAGCCCTAGATTCCAAGAACCAAGGTAGGGACTTGACATTTATTTTATATATATAAAAAATAAATGTCAAGTCCCTACCTTGGTTCTTGGAATCTAGGGCTGTGGGGCCACTGAAGGCTGCTAGGTTGGAACTGCAGCATGCAAGTAAAATGATATAAATAAATAAATAAATAAAAGCCCACCTGGGATAACCTGCCATGTGCCAGAGGGCATGTGATATGGGCATTCCCTGGGGACAAACAGCAGCAGCACAAGGTGTTAGGAACTCAGTGTTACAAATGTTCTGACCTATTGTAAGGAACTGAGAGCCCGCAGCCGAATTGCTCTTTTTTCTGGGCATGTAGTGGGGTTGGGGTTGTGTGACGGCCAGACTGGGCTTCCCAGTGGCATAAGTTCCTTGCAGCTGCCACTGCTAGTGTTACTGCTGCGGCCACCAGACCTGGCCTGTCTGCCCTATTCCCACTACCAGGGGTGCCTGCAGGCCAGGGCATGCTTAGCTGGGCTCATGGGATGGGGCTGTAGGCAAGGCTGGGGCTGGGAACAGGATTGTGGAATGGTGATGGCACAGGGCTGGGGCCTGGGCAGAGCTGTGATCCGCTCCCTTGCCTGACCACATGCTGTCACTGCCCCACGTTCCTGGTGCCTCCCAGACGCTAGCCCCTGGCCGCCTGTGACCCCATCCCATGCACCTGGCCGAGCGAGTTCTGCCTGCGAAGGTCCCACCCCATCTCTATGAAATTCCTACTCGCCCATTCTGTCTGGTGTCCCTGGACCATTTAGGGAGTTTGGGTGAGCTGTTGCAGGGGGTGATGGGGTTGCTGACTTGACCCACAGCAGCTCACCAAATCTCCCTAAGTGGCCCTCCAGCCCAAGTAATTGC